AGTAGCTACAGCTACGTACTCCCACTCCTGAAATCACAAAATTTAGTGAGAAATAGCCAATCACATGCTCTGAATTCATTTACAATAGCCAATCACATTGAAATATGAGTTTAATAACCAATCACATTGCTCCTAGTCACATATGTCCAGTAATTCTCATAACGCACTGCCTGCCGTAGTGGATCTCGTTGTGTAACATACTCTATACTCAATTCAGCAAATCTCATGTGTTCTTCAGCATAAAGCATGTGTGATTCAGCAATTCTTATATGGCTCTCAGCAATTCCTGTGTGGTCCTCAGCAATTCTTATGTGGCAATATTTTATCCTCCCCTGCAATTGGCGTCAAGGTCCTTCCAGGCGGCATGTCATAGTACACAGACGTTTCGTTGACATTAATGATGTCTTCAGCATCCCTGTCACGGAACTTGTCCGAAATTGCGGCTGCAAAGTTGTCGCGTATCTCCACCAGCACAGCTTGTGTAATCGACTGGCACATGGCACACGCTATGAATACCTGTAGCACGATGAAAAGAGCCTCCTGAGGCTCGGTCGTCGTTCGTCTTTGCCGCCAGGTTCAGCCACTCCATGTGGTGCAGTTTCATGAACGAGATCGAATTCGTATGAGAGAGGATATGCACCTGGTCACAATAATCTTTCATGAACGCAGCCATGTCACTGGCAAATGGTATATACTCCTGTCGCTCCTGACCACCAAGTGTTACCTTCTTGCAGTTGACTTTCTTGTTGAGGATGGCGTCCTCTTGCAGAAGCATGTTGCGCCATGTGCTCGATATGAGGCCTTTCTCAGTCGAAAAGGCGTGTGAGCTCTGTCCAGAAGTCCTGGAGGAATTCAAAGGATAGTTGTGACAGTTTGAGTGTGCCCAACGTGGCAGTGACTCGTAAGAAGGGGCAGCAGCAGAAGTATAGGTCGGCGGAGGTTGGGTAGCAGAAGGCGTAGCATACAAGGCGGTTGGAGGCGTAGTGTAGGTAGCGGCAGCAGCAACTTGGAGTCGACGGGATTCGGAATCACCGGAGCCTTGATCCGAGAGAATTAGATTGCGGCGAGAGGCGATGTTCAAGGTGTGGCAAATAGTAGCCTTGATGGCAGTAGGCGTACATTCAGAGCCACCCTCGCGCGCCTAGAATTGGAGCTGGAAAACGGCGTCCCACACGTCTTTGTTGGCGGCAAAGGCGTTAGAGTAGAACAGAGTACGAAAGAGCTCAAAAGTCTTCACATGACCTTCGCGAGCCGTGAGAACGTCGGCGTTCGCAGGGAGGGTTGCCGTTTCGATCAAATTGATCTGATCGTCGAGGGACGGAGTCGTTTGGCACCTCGATGTCGACTCATCACATCCTGGAGCTGAAGAAGCTTCCAAGGGTTCGGCTGTCGCTCGTTAAGGGAATAAACCAAACATCTCACAACACGAGCTGACGGGGTAGTGAAGAGGGTCTCGGCACTAATGTCCTCACTGTACTTGAGTTGGGTGAGACTCGCAAACAGGATCATGGGGTCGCGGGTGCCAGCTTCATGGCGCGCCATAAGAGCGGCCCAGAGAGAGAAGGGAGAGTCGTGGGATCCGATGACTTGTCGGAGGATAGGCGTAAGAGAGTTGAAAAGAAATGCCTTAGCTTGGACGCGTAGGGCAGCGAGGGACTCCGCGATATACTCATCCAGAAATTTGCGCGTGAAGTCTTGTTCAAGGCGTTTCACCGTTGCCAGGCGCGGTTCCAAGGCGTCACCAGCATAACCGTCGGTGGAGTATTTCGCATCGTTGCGGATCTTGTCCACCTGGAGCTTGGTCTGGCTGATAGTGTAGGCGTCGGTTTCGATGCGCGTGGGACAATAGGTCTCGTTGGTGTAGAGAGAGAAGAAGCCTGCGGTCACTGCCGCTTCCTCAAACGTGATGCGCCACGCAGCATTGAACTTCTAGGCGTCGTCGAGGAGAATGCCGGAGTAGGCGGTAATGGTCGAAGCAAGAGGGCTCACTCATAACATGTTAGAAAGTAGGAAACAGGAAGTAGGCGAGGGTGATAGGCGTGTAGCAACTTTGCGCAGAGTGTCCAAGACAAACCAAGTGTGCGGGACAGGGGAAAACGAAAAGTGACATTCAGTCGTTTACAAACTATCTAGCTTCGTTCCTATTGGCTAAAACTAAGCCAAAGGGAAACACTGACGTGTGAGAATCAGCGCTCTTTTCCTTGTGCTAGAGCCGTGATTGGGTGAACAATCACTTGGGTAGGGTAGCGACATGAAGAATATACAGAACATGCAAGTATAAAGCGACCACTGTCTCGGCTTGTCTGAGTTGATAGGCTAGGCGATAGAGTTTGGGAACCTTGATAGGCGAGGACAAAAGGCGTGAACACAGGCGAGGGAAAAGCACCACTTGACAGAAGTGTCGTTGTCTTTGTATAGTAGCTGCTTTTAGAGTTTGAGAGATAGCAAGTTGTCTCGAGAAGCCACAAGCAATCGTGGGAAAAAGCTCGAGTAGGCGACTGTACATAGATTACAGTTAACAAATACATTTTGTCTAATATCTACGAGTACTCTACTGGTCGTGACACCATATTATAAACAATTCTACATGGTTCCAAGTCAAAATAGTGCTAGTGCCATCACACGGCTACGAGCATAATCCGCCAACCTCAACCATCATCATCCGAAAACGACTCTGCCTCCGATACCACCGAGTGCCCGGCCGACCCACCGCTCACCGCGCGCCAACTACGGTCAAAACGTTCAGCGGACATTAGTTCCTGGCTCGCCATGACCGCCACAGAACCAAACGGGCTGCTCCTCGAACGCGGCACGCACATCCACGACCCACCCGGCCAGGCACAACCAGCCCACCCCAGATGCCACACAACACACCACACCCACCAGGCAACGCCTCTCTCAGATGACGACCGGCTCATCCGCCCCAGATTGCCCCATGTCATACACACCTCCAAACGCGCAGGCAAGGCACCGCCACTTCCGGCAAGTCCAACTACGCCACGCTCCCCGGCTCCTGCAGCCCTCCACCCCTCCAGGACGGCCAAAGGTCCATCTACACAGAGCTCCCTTGCTGACATCTGGTGTCAACCCGCTAATACCTGTGCAACCACAACTCGCAACACACTCTTCCACAGGTCCCGCCTCTTCTACCCTCCAGCCCTAGCCAGCCCATGCCTCCGAACCTGGCGACTCGTATCCCACTTCTGATACCTCGCCACCAACCCCTGGAACCCCCACGCATCACGCTCTGGTCCACCAAGTACCCTTCCCACACCAACTATCTCCATCCCAGTCAGGAACCATCACAAATCCCCATTACACTGACCCACTGCGATGGCCCACTCCACACCATCCACTACATCCGACATCCATTGTTCACATTTCCTCAATGTCGCATGCGTCACATTAAACGTAAAGGTAGACCACCAAAACCGACCGCAGGTTTTTGTGGCGCAAAGCCCTACACGTGCGATGCCGTTTAATGATAGACCAGCGTAAGAGCCTTTGGGGCCCCTAAAACTTTTGTCAGCAGCCCTTGTGTGGGGGGGTTGCATGATCGGAATTGCGTTCACCATTTTCAAGGTGACAACTCAACCGGTTAAATCCGTATAACAAATTTTAACCGGATTCCGGATAAATAAGACATTCCTCCGCGAGGGCCGATACTAGAACCACATGTTGTGGAACCGCTTAACGCGCCTGCTGGACCAAGGGCGGTGCGTAATCTTCGGTTTTTACTTCGCTCAACGCTTCATACCTCGTGCTTCGACCGATCTTCTTCGAAGTTCGGTCCTCGTCTTCGTACGCAGCCCTTGATATCCGGGTTCCCCAGGGGAGGGACGGATAATCCTTGCGGAAATAATCCGGGGAAGCCGGGGATGGAACCCACGACCTTTGAGTCAAGAAACCGATGCCCCCCCCCCTCTTTGATGGGAATAAAACCACATTGAAGTGAAATGGAAGATTGCAGTTTTAACTACCAGTCGAAAATGTTTCGAACGTTTTATATTTTTGCTGCCACTTTGATTGGAATACAGTAGGGGTAGTCAATTTAGGAAATTTCCGCTTTTCGTTCGAGCAAATTTATATACTTTTGTATTTTTATTAGCTTCCTCGAAAAGAAAGGTGGAATCAATTTGGCCCTCGAAAGTCCGCATTCATTCAAAAGAGGGGTGACGTCAGGTAGGGAGGGTTGGAATTCTTATCGTCGTCGACTGTCGAAGGCATTCGAATGGCGGTGTTCAATTTGGACACCTCGATTACGACCCACCCTGCACGGTCGTCTTATTCCACGACGAAGTAGTTAGGTGTTACCCATAGGCAGACAAGGATTGAAGTTACATAGTTAAAACTATATATATGTGATTGAAGCTGGAAGAGCTCCAGGCTTCACATCCCTCGACTACTTCAGTGTGTCGAGGCCCAATAGCTACCTTGTTTTGATCCTACACACACTACTTGAAGGTTGCATATATTGAGAGATATGACAAACTTCAATCAGTGCAGCTAAGGTTGCACTACTTACATGTATGCATGTCTTTGGCGATGATAATTATGGAGGTTCTAGAGCTAAGCTCACTTCTGAATCCACCTTCCTTTGAGCCTCTATCTCTACATCTGTGTGTGTTGTGTGCCAACGTCTGTTATTTCAAGTATCGACGCCCCCCCAAGTTCCCCCCAAACCCCCCCCCCACATCGTTTTATTACTCTGTGACCATGTCCGACACCACGACCAACGACAAGTCGGTCACGGACCTTAAGTTCAACGGCCGGAAGGTCATGTTCACCGCCTGGAAGGCCTGCATCATCGCGCACCTCAACTCCAAGTCGACGGAAGACGACTAGAAGCGTGTTATGAACGACAAGAAGCCCCTCAACTTGGCGCACCGTAACCAAGCTAATAAGAGAAAGTCAACTGCCTACTCGGAGTGTTTTTACTGTCACGGCATCGCTAATGTGGACGGCAAAGGCCATCTAAAGGCCGACTTCGCCTTGCTTAAGAGCGACCTCAGCAAAGGAATCACACGCAAGAACTTCAAGGAGGTTCCTGCAAAGCGGATCAAGGTCAAGGGTGGCACCTTATTGGTCAAGAATTTGGGCCAATCAAAGGCGAGTAAATCCTGTTATCCGGATAGCCAATCAAAGGTTGGAAAAATTGTGTCCGGCCAATCATCCACCGCCAAGTCGGATGACCCGGACAGCCAATCAGAGAGTGACACGGAATTTTCCGGGAACATTGCAGCCCGCCTGAGTTCGATGGCGATCCCCGACATGGACGAACTTCCAGACAGCGGACCGGACAAGTGGTCCTGCCTGACCAGCATCGCGCATAGTCTCGCGGACCAGACAACACGTATGGAAGAGGAGGTAAGCCGCCTGGCACCGTATCTACTGAAGAGGTCTTACACCATTGACACTAGTGACTGGGTGTTGGACTCTGGCTGTGGTATGCACATGACGCCGCTCTCAGGGTACTTCTGTAGTTATATAACTAATGATGACTACGACTTTGAGTTCGGACAAGGGTCATGTCTGGGTAGTACTCACATAGGCATAGTACAGCTGTTCCTAATGGGAACTGATAAGGTGATACGGCGCATTACACTAAACGATACGTGCTTAGTGCCCAATGCCACGTCCAATATTATAAGCGAGAATGCGCTGAAACGCCAAGGCTACCACATAATAGATGGTCTTAGTGGCCCATACAAATTCGTCTTTAAGGAAGGACATCTGATGTTCACCGCAATAGCTGTGAACGGAACGTATTATGTTCGTCACCATAACCTCAAGCAAAGGCAGGTATTCTGTCACACTGCAAAGTGTACACCTGTAACACCAACAGTGCATGTCTCAGCATCTCGTGCTGAGTCATTGCTTAGAGAATGGCATATAAGGACCGGTCATATGGGCCGTGAAGCTGTGATTACCATGCTAAGCAGTGGTCTTGTC